AATACTAAACTGAATAACATATTTACAATATTAATGGAATAAACTGCTAAAAGTATTTACAAATATCCGAACCATATTACGAGCTGCAGTTAACAAAATAAAAATAACTTTAAGCTATGATCACGAATACAACTGGAAATGTGTATATACTATAAATATATAAATTACTACATACTATACGCATACATACATATATACAAATACTTTACTATAAAATTATAAAAATATGATGAAATATAGCTTGTTGCGTAATTGATGGCTTTATAGCTTTTAAAAGACATTACAAAGATATTACAAATAATATTACATTAAAAAAAGTATGTTATATTAAATAGAAAAAAAAATGTGTTGCTTTAGAAATGCTATATACTATGTATTGTTGCTATGTAGTTGCCATATTCTACTATGTAGTAGTGTTGTTATAGTTGTAGTTATAGTTGAGGCTTTGTAGAGTTGCTGTCAATAATATGCTTTAGAAAGCAAAATTATAGCGAACTATAATAGCAATAATTTAACAAAATATGAAAAAATACTATTAACCGTTGAAAATTATTGAAATAAGCAGGCTGGTCCTGTTAAGCAATCGTTTACAAAGAAAGTAAAAATTATAAACTTAAAAATTGGAACATAACCTAAAAGTTGTGCGGAACAAAATTTATTGCCAGCAAAAATTAACCTTAAAATGTAATTTATTTAAGGCATAAAATGTCTGACATTTATGAATTTACTTTCTACATTGACCATTGATAATATTTCGATACTAATTTAAAGTTATTTCATAGTTTTTGTTGCCAAAAAAAACTTTTCTCTGAAATACACTCAAAAAATTGATCGAAAATAATTTTTTGTCGCCGAAAATACCCTCAAAACAATTAAATTTTTTTTTTAGAGTATCCATAAATGTCAAATGTATGTATTAGAATTATTTTCACTAAAATCACTAACATTTGAATACTTTTAGGGGTTGTACTAGTACTCGAAAACCGTAGACTTGGTCATAAAATCTGAAAAACTCTAACACGATGTTTTGTGCCGTTATAAATACTAACATCTCAACCCCTAAAGGCCCCGTGAGAAATCTTTACCTTAACAAAATTTTACAGATATGGGATTAAAAATAACAAAACAAGATTATAAACTTTATTACAAAAGAAAATATTTTTTTATATTTATTGATTCAAAAAATANAATTTTATTTATTTTAATAATATTTCAACAGTACTTTGTAGTCCACTGTATTAATTATTAATTGTCAAGGGATTTCAAGGTGGTAACACAACGTACAGTGGGCAGTATAAAGCCAAAGCGCATATAAAAATAAGCCAGACAAAGAATTTAGCCAGTGTAAAATCAAACAAAACAGCGACACATAAATAAAGAGCTTTGTATGAGAGAAAACTTCACCTTTTTAATTTAATAAAATTATTATTTTTAAAATATTTGTTTTTGTTGTTCTTTTTTATTATTAAATATCTCGCACTTAATATTATACAAACATTATTGCCTTCATGTCAGAAATATAATACTCAAACAGTAAAGCCATTCACAGATCAAGAGAATAGAAAACCATTAGAGTTTATTATAAATAATTATATTAGAATTGTTATACTAAAATAGAATTAGAAGAAAATTAGGCGTTCATAAAAAAGTTAATCGGTTTTAGAAGGAAAACGTTGAAAAATATAATTAAAAAAGAAAACATTTAGAAAACGAACGAACGAGTATTGAATGCGGTTATATAAATCAAGTAAGAGTATATTACAGTGTTTATTTTCATTTATTTATATGAGGACTATAGAAAATTTATAAAAAAGAAAAAATATTCATTCGTTTCGTCGGCAATTCAGTGAGATATTTTTTACAGTTCCTTTACGCATTTCCACGCACAGTAGCCAAAGGTGGAGTTCTTCTCTCCATACAACAACAAAAATTCATTTTTATTTGGGTAGAATTTGTTTATAATAATTAGAAAAAGCAATAAAAAGCCTTTTTGCATTAAGCAAAATATTTGCGATAATATATGTAGACAATGACGTTTAAAAATAAAAATTAAAATATATAAAATTAGAGACTCTAAATGCCAATTTAATTGAATTTAAATCGTCACATTAAAGTGTTAATTACAGTACAGTTAGCCAAATAACAGTTCAATATTATACAAACCTTCAATTGAAAAATAAAATTCCAATTATTTTTTATTTTTAACTTTAAATAGTTTCTTTTTTAATATTAATTTCAATTAGTAAAATAAATTTGAAGATGTTGGAGAAGAGTTCAAGAATTAATTAAATTAAAACATTGGAATTAATAATCAAAAATACAAAATGATTTGATGTGTTTCTAATAACGATATGAGACTGACGATTTTTTATTAGATTATTTCTTATTATTTTTGAAGTATAGTGAAGAAGAAATTCTAGTCTTTGACGTATCGCAAATATTTTAATTTTTTCGTTGGAAATGTTTTTAATTTAGTACACTAAGTCGAGCACTGAAGCAGCTTAACGCGTAAGCCTGTTTTCGTAAGAGAGTCCACAATTGATAAAATGTTGAAAAGAAAGTTTATTAGCAGCTATAAAAAATATAGATTGCTCGGTAGGAATTGAAATACGAGTTAAAGTCACAGACGGTAAAAAACAGGTTTTGGAAAAAAGAATTTAAAATATTTTAAGGTAGAAAAGTAATGAAACAAATAAAAGTTTTAGCTCCATAAAAACTCTGTAGTCAAATTATTGATTTAAATTAGAAGTGTCAAAAACAACCTTGACAGAGTGGCTACTAAATTTTCTCGTAGCTCTAACGTCAGAAAGTATGCAGCGCTTATCACGTATGTACATATTTCACGCTAAAAGGTAGGCTAAATTTTTATTGAAATAAAAATTTGTTGGAATTTTATCTTATAGATTTTTTAGACAACTTCTTAAAAGCCATTTCGCATAGGCAAATTGATTTAGTGCATTAAGATTATAATTGAAAAACCAGTTTTTGCTTTTCGCAGGAACTATAGGCTCGATTAACGATCAGCTGTTATACTTGCTTGTGTTCTTCATTTTGCAATTTTTCTAACGATTAAAATTCGTCAGCTGATTCCATTTCTATCAATGCACACAATCAAAATTTAAGCCTGGTCCACAACCGGCAGAGTTAAACACAGCCAAGTTTCTAGTGTGGACAACAACCCCCAGAGTTTCAGTTTGGGGGTTTCATTTACAATCGACCTCAATTAACCCTTTAATCGTGCTCAATTAACTCCTGTGCGAAAATGCTATATCAGATTATATTTACTTGTAAACTTTTTCATAGCAGTTCATTTCTAATAATTTTTTTTTGTTTTTTGAAATATAAAATTATTTTTTTTATGAGTTATAAATTTCTTAAGAAAAAAAGTTCGTCTTCAAATAATGAAACTTTAACGGTTAATATCTTTTAAACAGTAAGGTTTACGGTGTTGTGGAGCATATAATTTCCTTCAAATTCTAGGAAGGGAACTATTTTTTTCAAGTAGTTCGAAGCGAGCTACGACTTTTCTCATAATAAGCAGAAAATCGAAAACTGTAAGGGAGAGCTCTTTATCGTTACAATATTAAGTTCATATTTGGAGATATAGAGGTGTTTAAGAACCTATTTTTCAGAGTACTAAGCGAAAAAAAAAATATTCGCTTTTTTACCAGTCGAATATATATACATATGTACATATATTCAAGAGTACTCTCCAAAACTGATTTTGGGTCGTCAAATAGTTTCGGAGATATGAGCATATTTGTACGAATTTTTTAAGTCGGTGTAATCTGTCTTGAAAATTTTGAATTTGCTTGTCTCGAAAAGCTGTTTACAGATTCGATGACCTTCGTAATTATATTTTTCAGTTATTAATCGAAGAAATACGACTTTTGAGTAATCTTCATAATTATATTTTTCAGTTATTAATGGAAGAAATAAGACTTTTAACTAGCCTCGAATAATTTTTAGCCATTTTGGAGTATAACTTTTTTCACAAAAATCAAAATTTTGAGTAGTCCTATTTCTTACTAGACTCATGACCTGTACCGATTTATATTCATAATAATTTATTATTTAGTTTTTGGATATGTGATAATTGTAAGCAGAAAAATCTTTCTCGCCGCCAAATACCTTTTCCGTAGGTTCTCCAGAAGATCGACTACGGAGTTAAGTGAATCCAAAATTTTTAAAATTAAATTGCATTTAATTTACATACTTTTTATATATTTATTAAATGAAATTCTTCTAAAAAAAAAAAAAAAAAAAACGCAACAAAACGTGGTTTTTCTGACCGGCAAGTGGATATAACCACTTAATTTAGTAAATTATCAAATTGACGGCCTTTGCTAATTGACTAAATTAGTCGCTGTGGATTTTCTCACGAAAACATTTTGAGTGATTAGCACAGGGAAAAAAGCCAGCTTTGCGTCAACTACATATCTATGCAAAACAAAAATTGGAGAACAAAAAATAACTAAAAAAAATTTTTTTTTTTTTCTTTTAGATACCTTAGGATTTTGAATGAGCTTGGCAAAATACTTTGTTCGTTGATGAAGAAAATTGTTTGCTTTCACGTTTTATGATAAATTTTGGTTTCGCAATTTACAAAAGACGGCCGAATTGCTGTTTACTTTGTGCGTACGCTTGTGTGTGTTTGTTTGGCTGTTTACGATTGACCTACAATTTTTACACTTGACTGAGATGTCTTTCGATTGCATGTCTTGATTGGTTGGACGATTTAACGATATTTTCTCGATTGAGCTCTGTACATATTTACATAGAAGTATGTATGTAGTTCGTGATTTTGCACCATATATACAGGTGTATATGTATGTGTGCTTGCATGAAGGCACGAGGTAACGAGCGAACGAATGAACGATTTTTCTTTGTTTTTTGTTGACGACTTTATTATTGCTGGTGTTTTATTATATTTATATATTTTTTGCTTTTTTTCGAAATGTTGCAGATTTTACAATTTTTATTATTTATTTACTGTTAATTTTGCTTATTTTTTATTTTGTTGTTTCGTTTGTTTTGGCAGAAATGTCAACTTTTTGTGTTTTGTATGATTTGTGTGACTGTGCGGCCGGTTGGGTTATTGTGAGAGCATGAATGAATCGGCAAAATGCAAAATCTGGCTGGCTAAATGTAAAATCCTGCTTACAAAAGTGTTTTGTAGTAAAAAAAAAAAAAAAAAAAAGATGAACGCGGCTATCACTTCATGTTTTTATAAAATATTTAAAATTACTTTTATTTACAATAAATTCAAAGAAGCACACACTATGCTAACTTTGCTATGTTTAAACTTTTTCCATTAACTGAGTACAAAAAGGCAGTGTTTGGGTTGGTTGAACTGTGCGAGTTGGTGCTACCGCTCAGCTAATAAAAAAACTAGTAAATTTTTTGAGTTGTTGGCTTGCATATGTGTGTCTCCTGCCTACAGCGCAGCTGCTGCAATGAGACACTTCTTTGGATAATTTTTGAACGTTTTTAATTTTTTTTAATAACTTTGGTGCCACGCACCAGAAGCGTTTTCCGCCTTTCACAACAGTTTTGATGTCAAATTTATAATATGCATCACCGTTATTTGTATTTTCCTACAACTATACTTTAAACAGCTATTTTACTTAAGCATTTACGATTTCCCCCAATTTTGACGACGCTCGCCCGCTGTGTATGTGCCGCCACCCTAATGAGCCCGCTAAACTTTGCGCCAACGGCTCACCGAACCCTCGCGCGATTGCGAGAGACAGTCGGGACTTTTGCTATTTCGTGCGAAAATCTCCGGCGACTCGGTTACACGCGCCAAGTCGCGATTTATCGTTTTCGAGCTGAGCACACGTGGACAACGCACGGACCAAGGACTACGTCGCTGCGCATCTTGCATGGCGCGATACGCTTTCGGTGGCATGCCGTCCACGCTGCTGCCGTTTGCGTGCGACCATGTATCATAGTATTCGGCATAGCTTTTGTCGATTTTGATGTCGTTTGGTGTGAGTGCCGGTGTCGTCTCGACTGATGTATTCTCCAATGAGTCCAGCTCCTCTTCGAGCACACGTTTGGCAGCTGCCTGCAGCTTTTCCATGGGCATTTGGCGCAAATGGCTGCTATCGCGTTTCAATAGCAGACTCTGTACCAATTCATTGACTAGTTTATCGCTGACGCTAGTGTTGTTGGACGGTTGCCCCATAATGGGTGAGGCTGGACTGTTCGGTGTCGAGGGATTATCCGCATCGATGCTCGTGTTTTTACGTAATGGCAGTGAGAGGCGTTCGCGTCGTTGTGTCATGGTTTCGGCATCGGCAAGCGCTTTCGGATTCTGCCGACGTGTGATGGATACATTGTGTACGATCTTGCGGCGACTGGGTTTGAAGTGATACTCGTCGGCGAGCTCTTTGCTTAGTTTTTCATCTTCGAGTGGATCGTTTTCGTCCTGCAGCAGCTTGAAGAGTCTGGAATGTGTGGCGGCACGTTGATAGCTGCTCATTTTACGCAGCTCGGGGAAGCTTTCGGATTCGGTGTCAGTTTCGGAAAGTGGTTTATTCATATCCGTTACACCCGAGTCATCTTCTTCGATTTCCGACTCGGAACGTTGTGAACTGTTACGCGATAGCGTGCCTCTGGGTGTGCAACTCTCCACCGAGAGTGAATGTGTTTTTCTATCGTCAGTTTTCTTTGCTGTAGTTGGCGACTCGACCACACCAGCTTCAAAAGCAGAGATTCTATCGCGTACTGAAATCTTAACCTCCTCATTCTTAAGACCCAAATCTGGTAAACCGTTAGATAAAAGTTTCCTTTCTATAATGGGTTCCACATAAACCTCGGGTAAGGTCTGCTCGAAGTTTGTTGGTGTTTTATTGCGTTCCGTACACACTTCCGTATTGTATGGTTCGGTATGTACCTCTGTGTTCAGTGTATTATATGTCATCTCCACACCTACACTTTTACCTCTAGTTTGATTTATGGTTTCTTGTAGTATATTTTCAGTACAGTAACTGTCGAGCCCGACACTCTTGCCTCTTGCTGTAGACTGTTCAAACGTTTCTTTGTAGTAGTTGTTTACTGCATTTTCGATGCTTTCTTTTTTATTTATACTCGCGTTTTCTGTCCCGACCAGCGAATTCCTATTTGATGAACGGCCTTTTCGTGATTTTTTCTCGGCGTTGACTTCCTTCTGGTCGTCAATGGATGTACTGAAGAAGGCCATAGCTTTACGGTAGTTATTGCGTTTGACATTTGCCTCATCTGTCTCTTCAACGCGTTCAACTTTAATGCGCTCCTCCGTCAGCGGTTCGGTATTTTCATTATTATCGTTGTTGTGTATCCATTGTTCCATATCTTGGTATGGCTTGTTAAGCTCATTAGTTTCTACCGGTGGCGCCCAAACATTTGCCACAACAGGTTCGTGCAGAGAAGCTACTTCCCAAATATCACTTGAGCTTTTATTAACATCTTCAACACTTTCTGCTTTATATGCTGTTTCTTCTTCCAATGGGATCTCATTGAATTGTACTGCTAGAGCCTTTTCTTCCTCCACAGCTGGATCAATGTATTCGGGTTCTTCACCTTTCGCGGCTTCTAATGCTGCCCATAGACCCACGTTTACAGTTGGTTCGTCGGGCAAGTTAGCAGGGAATGCTTTAGGTAGCACTTTAGAATAAGGTGTTTCATCAACTGAATTATGACGTTCACGATTGGCCCAGAAAGATGCTGATTTATAGAAATTAACGTCATCTGTATCTTGATCCTTAGCTTCAATTTCAGCCCAGAAATCGATTTCTTCATCGGTATCAACTTCACGTGGTTCTTCGGGGTAAAGTGTGGGATCGTAGACATGTGGAGGGGTCTGCGTTGTTTCGGAATTTGGTTCTTCTACAACGCTGTGTGTTGAAGGCACCACAGCATTATTGGTTGTTGAATATGGTTCAGTTGTGGCAATTTTTTCTGTGTTATTTTTTATGTTGGCCGAGAAGTCGCCTTCCTCAACAACCGTTTGAGCTAAAGGTGTTTCTACGTTGTTTATTGTTAATACTTGTTTTGTTGTAGTTCTGTCATTCACATTATTTTCAATGTCAGCCCAAAAGTCTACTTCCTCAACAACCTCTTGGACTGCGGAAGCCTTTACATTATTGTTGGTTGATAACTCATCCGTTGTAGCTGTAATATTCGTCTTCTTTTCAATGTCGGCCCAGAAGTCGACTTCCTCAACAACTTCTTGGACTGAGAGAGCCTCTACATTATTGGAGGCTGATAACTCATTCGTTGTAATTGTAATATTCTTATTCCTTTCAATGTCAGCCCAGAAGTCAACCTCCTCAACAACCGTTTGTGCTGATGGAGCTTCTACTTTGTCGTAAGTTGAATATTGTTTTGGTGTACCAATCGCGGCTTTAGCTTTTTCCACAGACGCCCAGAAGTCTTCCTCATCTTCTTTCTCCTCCACTGGCGCTTTTGGTTCAGACAGCTTTCTGCTAACATTCACTTTTTCATACTGAGCCGCTTTTTCATCTGTCTCTGAATCATCTTCCTCACTCTCGCTCGACTCTTCTTCCACCTGTTCTGATGGAGGCGGTGTATACAAATCTGCTTGTAGCGCTGTTGGTAGAACCTTTGTAGATACCTTCATGGTGGTTGATGTATGCATAACCTCACTCATTTCTTTACGTTCGTAAGCAGATTTGGTCTTGAGTTTGGTTTTCTTTTCAGTTGTCTTTGCTTCCTTTGATTTTTCGATCTCTGCCCAAAAGTCGACTTCTTCGGACTCGTCTACAGTTTCGACCTTGTCTTTAATATCTATCGTGTCTCCAAATATTACCTTACAGCCAGCTTGAGCGGAAGCTTCATCCTTCTTCATAACTGTGTTTACCGGCAGTTTTTCTACAATAACATCCTCCGCTTGCTCTTCCTCGTGTGTTTTTCGTGTTGCCGCTGCGAATGTGGACCAGAAATCCTCTTTAGCATCGGCTAATTTCAATTTCGGCACCGGTTTCGGTAAATCATCACTTTTATCAGCCCAAATATCATCCACCTCTGGTTCGGGCTCTGTAGTTGCTACGACAACTTCCTCCTTTATTTCTTCTTTTTTTTGTTCCTCATTCTCCTTTAACTTGCCCCAATAGTTCGCTGATGTCTCCATCATTTTCTGCGCTTGCAGCTTAGTAGCACGTAGTGTAGCAAAGAAGTCTAAATCGTCGGAGGGTATTACTGGCGTGACTGATTCTTTCGCCACGGGCTCCTCTTTCATCACTGACGCTTCGTTTATTTGTTTCGTGCCTATATATGGTTCCTTTATTTCTTGTTTCACTTGTTCCCGTATAGTCTCTTTGTGCGTCATACTTTTGAACATCGCTATATTATTGGTCACATCATCCCTCATAGTTTGACCCATAAATTTGTTGCGCGCATTTAATGACAATGACACCGAAACGTTTTCGTTACTCGATGCCGCGCTTGGCGGCTCTGGCGTTGGCAGCTCTTCAATTGGATATGCTGCTGAGACGCGACGTCCGTCGGGCTTGCGCTCCATGGAACTCGAACGTGAAGATCCACTCAAGCTTATCGTTACACTTACTTCACAATCATCATCGTACTCATAAGCACCTCCGGCTTCATCATCGGAATCATGTTGCAGTTCCGCAACAGCAAATCCAGTGCTACGTTTACCTTCCGAAGAGATGCTATGGCGTCGTTCTTCGATTTGTGATTTACCAACCTCCACAGTGGCTACATTCTCGTCGTTGAATGAGAACTTTAATGGTAGCCTTACGGTAACCGAGGTGGAGTCCTCCTCTGCGTCATCATTGTTGTCATTCTCTTCAATTTGCTGCTCCACAGCGTCATCACGCTCAACTGTTGTCGCATCACTGGCGTTAGAGCCATCACGTTGTATGATTGTATTCGGTTTATCGCTGCTATGTTCCATTTCACTCTCCTCTTCGTAGATGACACTCAGGTTATCGTAGTCCATATCATCGTTTTCTTCAATATACTCATCCAACTCCAGTTCCTCAGCGACATCTTCTTCATTGTCTTCCTCGTCGAAGATATCGCTCTCGCCGTCAGCCGTTGTCACATCGTCTTCATCATCGACCTCGTTTATGTTTATATTACCATTCTTGTAGATTTGTATATTTGTGACCGATTTTATTGCCTGCAAGCCATGCGTTTCGACACATTTGGGCGTCGCGTCCGAATCCTCATCACTGCTACTATCTGAGTCCGAACTCACTTCGGTCTCCGAAGCTAAAGTCACAATACCTACCGGTACTGGCGGTGCGTTATCCGTCGGTGATTTTTCGCTGAACTCCTTATCACGCTCGCCGGCATAATTCTTCTCGACATCTTTGCTCATATTTAGATTATGTTCGACAACTTTGGACATATTCACCAAACGTTGTGACAACATATCAATAACGGAACCTTCACGTTGTTCGCGTCTCAACTCTTGCGGCCGCATTTCATTATCACTCCTAGTGACCTCTTCGATCACGACAGCATCATTGCGCTTTGGCGGTTCACTTTTCTCGATCTTTATGTGATGTTGCAATATAACTTGTGAGGGCATATCATCCGTGCTGGGCGTAACAATGATGTCGGGCAACACACTGCTGGCGCGATTCGATGGCGTGCTCTGACTGTAGCTAGGCGCTACAGGGTAGGGGTATGGATATGGCGGCACATAAGCGGGATATGCGGCGCTTGCATTTACATCGTGATAAGCATTTTGCGAATCAAATTCATTCGGAGTTTGAGCGCGAGGAGTTTGCATATAAGCATAAGGGTTATGTGCTGGTGGCGGCGGTGGGGGATAGTAAGGATAATAGTAGGGATAGTGTGGTGCATATGGAGTATGCGACGCGGCATCGCCGCTTATTTCGTTAGTCTGTGCCTGTGTTGAGGGTGGTGGTGGTGGTGGAGGCATGCTATATGGGTACGGCCATGGCGGATATGCCTCACCGTTAGTCGGTGGCATTGGCGGCGGATACCAGGGATAAGGATATGCATAGCCATAGGCGGGGTAAGGATGTTTGGGTATGGGATAGGTGCAAGAATCGGAGCTGAGCGATGATATAGAGGATGAGGATGATGTGGTTGATGGTGCATGTGTTGTGCTATGGGTATTTGTTGTTTCGGATGTGCCTTCATTATATTCATTCACATTTTCAGTACAATTTTTATTCAAAATATTTTTGCTTTGATTTTCTTTGGCTTTCAAAGGGGTTTCGTTCAATTCAACACGATCTGTAGCTGCCAACTCGACTAAAACATTTTTTTTTTTTTTTTTTTTNTTTTTTTTTTTTTTTTTTTGTTGTTTTGGGGGAAAATTTAAGTCAAGTGAATGGAAAGGAATAGAAAGAAGAAATAAAGAAAGAGTATAATTAACATAATGAATGCTAAATAAATGTGTGAAAATGTAACAAATTTGAAATTTTTTTTTCGATTTTTAATACTAAAATTAAGTAACCAATATACGTAACATACAAACAAATGAATGCAGTTAACGTGTGCGTTGAATGTGCGAGTGATTGTATGACATGAAAATGTAATGAATATTGGGTAATTCAACTAATAACTCATATACGAAAAGAATCTAAATTTAAACCATTTAGGGGTATAACCAATGCTAAGGTTATTCTGTTTTTATGAGAAATTATAGGTTTTTCTTCTTCTAAATATATTTTTTGTAAGTTTCCATTTTTAATCATGCCATTAATTACTGCGATTGTAATGAGTTTTTTATACAAAATGAGTTTGAAAATATTATTTATGTATAAAGTTTGGTTATGTTATTAAAAATTATTATTAAAAATTAATAATAAATGTAACATATTTATTTTTTTAACATTTACAACCCAAATGGATTAGTTTTAGATTTTTTTTGCTGTATAAACAATTATAAAAAAAGTGTAATGCATAAATATAAATTACAAAACGATTAATTTAATAACAAACGTTCGAAAGATAAGCGGTTCATTTCTTAGTAATAACTTTAAGGCACAACAAAGGTGTCATATCTAGTAACATTAATATATATATAAATAATAATTTATCGCAAAAAAAGGTGAAATTTCTCTTCAACTCATAAAAAGTTTCTAAACAATAATATATAATAATAATAAAAATAATATAAATAAATAAATAATAGTCTAATGCAAAATAGTTAGTGTGTCTTTCACTTAGTTGATTATGTATAGTATTTTTGTTGTTTGTTTTTAAATGTTTGCTTTGTAAGCTTTTAATGTTCATATGTGTATGTTTGATTGGTTGAGTGTAACGCTATCAGCAGATGAGGTCCTCAGGGAAAGTCAACGTAATGAGTCTTTGTCGCTACCTCTGCCTGTCGCTACTTCTACACTACTAGAAATCCTTCAATGCTTCATAAATATGAATGCTCATAACTCCGAAATGTTTATAATACCACAACACGTGCGGGATGGGATAGATATCAAAAGTTAAAGAGGGAAGCGACACACATTTACAAACGAACAAATCTATCCCCAATTGAGAAGTGAAATCCTCTCTCGACGAACAAAGACCAAACTCTATAAGGCACTCAGATTTATGGTCGTTTGCGCATAGGCAACGTGAATATTGTATTTGATGGAACGATGAGCTATACGAGTTATACGACAACATAGACATAGTTCAGCGAATTAAAAAATAGCGGCTATGCAGGCTAAGCCATGTCGTTCAAATGGATGAAAACACCCCAGCTCTAAAAGTATTCGACGTAGTAACCGCCGGGGGAAACAGAGGAAAAGGTAGACCTACACTCCATTGGAAATAACAGGTGGAAAAGGGCCTAGCTACACTTGGAATCTTCCATTGGCGCCAAACTGCGAAAAGGAAGAACGACTGGCGCACTGTTGTAAACTCGGCAATAACCACTTTTGCTGACAGAAAATTTTAAATATATTTTTTTATATCATGAGCCAACATTAACTTTAACTTCGAGCTTCCTATTAAATGAGATCTCGGATTAAAGGAAATAAAATGGAACAAAAATTACGAAAAATTAATATTTTTCACATGCCTAAAAAAAAAAAGACGTGAAATTCTCCGGTCTCTACAATTTTCTTACTGTTGTCCTGTACTTTGTTAAAGCTTACAATATTTCCAACTTTTATAACATAAGTTGGTCTAGCTCACGGTATCACCTCATACGCCATTCATCATTATCTTTCATTGCTCCAAGCATTTTTCTTAAGATCTCTCTTTCGACGGTTTTCAGTTCGGTTTTGTCCTTTGCGAGATACGCCAATGATTCTGCTCCGTGCGGCAAAACAGGTTTCTAGGGTTTTTTATACTGACTATGTAAACTGCCTTTTCTATCAAGACTTAGTAAAGCAAAATTTGCATAACCTAGTTTCAGGATCCTGAAAGGCTAATCCCCATATTTAGGAACGAAATGACAAAAATGTCACATAATTTGAGCAATTTCAATATAAATGACAAAATAACTAAAACTGGCTTACAAATGGACTAAGAATGAGCTTATATATGTATATAACTTTAATGTCCAATAAAACATACTTCGGAAATTGATAAGTATAAGAACATTTCTGTGAAAAGATTAGGCTCCAATCAAATTAAGGAATTTAATTATCTTTGAAAGAAAATTCTACATAAAACTTCAGGATCCGAAAGTATGATCCCCAATATTACGAGACTTAAAGGCTTTCAAAGTTTTGCTTAGGCTCGTAAAGAAGTCTACGCTCTCTTGGAGAGTTCGGTTTTTAGAGTTTTGGTTAGATCTAGGCTTTTGATGTCTTAAAAGATAAGAAAATTCTCATAACACACAGCATATACATACATAAAATTTTGGGCCCTTTCCTTATTCTATTCCCATTATTCTATCCAGACCTCATCCTCTGATCTTACCGCCTTGTAGTTAGCATAAGTTATTTACGTTCGACACAAATATTTAATGAATCAATTAGTTAATTAAATCAGTTATTCTTTTTATCAAAATTATAAATGTAGTATCCATAAATTATTGATCAAAGAGGGTGTAAGAGCACTTACCAGCATTTTCTGGTGTTGTCATCGCTTGCAAAATTTTAAACGATCGACTTGGTATTGCGCTACCGGTATATTTTTTCGGTTCGGGTACTTGTTGTTCACTAGGGTGGATATATGGTTGTGGCATGTCTACAATTATAGAATTATTAAGTTTTTAAATGCGCAGTATCAGAAAAGTTATATACAAAAACACAATTCGTCAACAAACTACAAAAACACTACAGTCCAATAAGCTTGCAATAAGCTCACCACTGTTATTGTTGTAAATGGTGTGCTGCTGTGAGCTTTTCAAAGCATTACCTAAAAGAAAAGAAATCGAAGACGCATATAAATATATAATTTTGAAGTGAGGGGTAGAACGGTAAAATTTCGTCGTATATATGTGTGTAGTGGTGTAAATGTGTTTTGGGTAGTTGTGGTGTGCGTGTTAAAAATATTAATGTGCTTTTTTTTTTATTAAAAAAGCTACAAATTTCCATTCACCAAAAACCATTAATAGTTTTATAAAGCTTAAATCAAAGGAAGCTTAATTAAGGAGGTAACAAGTCTATACAAATTTAATTTTTTTGTTTTTAATTTTTTATTTAAGTAGTCAAAAAGTAGTTAACTCAGAAAACCGCAAGCTTTTTGAACAAAAGCGCTTTAAAAAGCTTTGCAGAAATCAAATGAGTTTTAGGTATATAAAAGCCAATTATACTTGTTTCACCTTTCTGTTAAGACTCCCCACTTAGTTATTTAATTATTATACTATTTACAAAGTTATTGTGGTGATGGTGCCCCCAAACTTTTACAACTTTTCTAAGTTGAGCTTTCACAGAACTCAATTCACAATAGCTTTCACCTTTAACTTCCATTTCTTTTTCTTTTTTTTTACATTTACTTCTCAACACCATCTTTACTGGTAACTGTGTACCCTGTCGGTTTTTAAGCTTTTGCAGGGTTGTAACCCACCTTGATTCCATGCCTGTGGCGCTTGTGACTGTTGCTGCTGCTGCTGTGGATCGGCGGCGATTTGCATGCGTCTCATTTGCTCTACATTCGGTTGTTGACGCGCCTGTTGGGCGCTCATTTGCCTCGCGTATTGTGGTCGTTGTAATTGTGGCTCTATCTCGACATAGCTTTCCGATTTCTTATCATCGCCGCTACCGTCGTCAATAGTGTCAGTGATTTTTTGCAAAATTCTAAAGGATTTCGATTGTATGGGTGACGAGCGTGGATCGCTAGAAGAAGTGGGTGAGTTGCTGGTTAGATGTTTTAGTGATGATGTCAATTAGTAGCGCATATTCTCTTGATTAGTAGTCAGAAAAATACAGACTTGTCGAACATAAGCGGTGCTGCGATTAGGTGACAAAGAATCGTGTAGTGTGTGTCTAAGTTAATAGTGCTTTCAATAACTAAAAGTGCTCTGTGTGGGTTTCGACAAGTTTCCTAAACTTTTAATATTGGTTGGCACTATTCAACTTTTTTGCGTATAGCGTATATATTCTTATAATCTTATTACACGTTTAGGATTATTGTTCTTTCGAAAAACAAGATTTAAACCTCAATATTTAAAAGCTAACTGAGCTTTCAAAAACCTTTTGAAGAGTTTACTTATAATTTAATTATAATCTGATAAGTTATAAGTTCTAAACTCAAAACATAAAACTTAATACTATAAAACTGATCAGTTTGACTGAGCTTTCAAAAAGCTTTCGAAGCGTGTACTTATAATTTTGCTTTTTTTTTATATTTTCTCCTCTACAAATAAAACTTAAAACCTAATACTCAGAAGCTGATGAACTTAATTGAGCTTTAAAAGAACTTTCACAGGCTTTACTTATAATTTGAGTGAATTCTGATATTTTTTGTGTCCAAGAACAAAACATAAAACATAATAGTCGAAAACTGATAAGCTTAACAGAGCTTTTAAAAAGCTTTCAAAGGCTGTACTTATAATTAGTAATTAGTAATTTCTCACATCTTGTGTGTTCTACAAACAAAACTTACTACCTAACACTCAAAAGCTGATAAGCTTAACTGAGCTTTCAATAAGTTAAAAATATTTTCGAAGTGTTTACATATAATTTTGTTATTTTTGATATTTTGTTTTCTAAAAACAAACCCTAATACTCAAAAGCGGATGAGCTTAATTGAGCTTTCAAAAAGCTTTTGAAGGATTTATTTTTAGCATAAGTGATTTCTGATATTTTATGTGTTCTATAAACAAAACATAAAACCTGCTACTTAAAAGCTTATAGGCTTAACTGAGCTTTGAAAAATTTTTCGAATGGTTTATTTGTATTTTAAGTGATTTCTTATATTTTGTATAGCTCTAGCGGCTAATAACTTTCTTGTTTATTGTCGCACCTTAAGAATATACTCAAAAATATTGAAAGCTTTAAAGGACTCAAACTTTCTTAGGACACTAAATGTTAAGCTGACAATTTCCCGAAGAGCATCGAAAATTTTCGAAACCTTTGTAGCTTTTTGCCATATTTTTTTCATAAAAATAATTCAATTAGGATTCCGTGTATAGCGAATTAGTAAATAGTTTTAAAATATTAGAGTTAGAAAATAATGAAATTTACAAGTTCTCAGGACTGGGTGGAAATGTAATTGTTGGCTGAATTGAACTTCTGAAGAGGGGTATTGGTATTATAATCCTGCAATTCAAAGACATTTTTTGTCAAAAATTTATACATATTTCAAATATTAATATTAAGAACCCATTTTAGAGTCAAACTTTGAAAAAAACTATGCTGCTGAAATTAATCGAAATTCAGTGAATTAAAATATGGTTTTTAGGTCATTTATTTTTGGATTCGTGAGCTCGCGTTAAGTATGATTTTTATGAAATTAAAACTTTTCAACTGTCAAAACAAGTGTTTGTTTACATTTTGTCATGCACGAACTCTAACAACACTGACATGTGACATATGACACAAGATACATACAGTTTTTTACATCTCACACGCTACCTGAGACGATTCATTCTGTACCGTATTTCCGCCTCAAGTGGACAATCGTAAACTACTAGATTGTAGTTTTCACTTGATCACCATTAGCAGAAGCAACAAAAAAATACCAAAACAAAGAATAAAAATGTTAATAAAAAGCGTAAAGTTAGTGAAAGCTTTCTGAATTATGTTTGGTTTACTAAAAAAAAAAACTCAAATGAAAGAATATATGGAAATGCGTGCCATCGAAACAATGAGAAAACTGAGCCGATTGAATCGTCAAATAGCGAACTTTAAAATGCGAGCTTTTTTGCAAAGCTTTCACACAACAACAGCTTATACACTTACTTTTGCAAAACGATTGGTGATGGTGAAATGGGCCCACGTGTGCCCTCACTCTCCATAGCGATCGGTATGATGCGTGAGCGATTAGCGCCAGCGCCAGCACCGTTGTTGTTATTCGTATATTGCTGTTGTTGCTGCACAATGCGTGGAGCATTCAGTTGTTGTGTTGGTGACATCACACGCTGAGCTGATTGCTGTTGATTGGCGCCAGCTGAGGGTGGGAAATTGTTGTAACCTTGATCAACGAATTGATTGGGCGAACGCACCACATAGCTGCTCGGTGCTGTGCGGGAGATTGCGAGTGCATAAAGCGATATTACATGTTAGCAGAGGCTACTTACCAGTAGTGACGCCACCATAGCTGACATTGAAGTTCGGTTGCTGTGATGTGGTATTCGTCGGTGTCTGCTCCAACTGGATGGGTATGATGCGTTCCTGTGATAAAGCATAAATCTTTACTGTAAAACTACATATTTCCAACAAAATTTCGTAGCGCACTCACCCTTGGACCAGTTTGTTGAGTTGCCGCATTATTGGCACTGGAGTTGGCATTGATTTGCAGGCGTAAGCCAGTGTTGCCAATGCCATGGCTACCGAAATTCGTTGGCGCTGCTCCAGCAAAACCGTTACCCTGCTCAGGCTGATAGGCGTAGAGCTGAGGTTGGGGTGGTTGTTGTGGTTGTTGATAGTATACTTGCTGCTGGGGCTGCTGTTGTTGTGACTGTGGTGGCGGCGGTGACTTAATGCGATTCAGCGACGAAGGCACCACATTGCCATTTTCCTCGGGACGCGCCCATTCTGGCTGATCGTTTGCCTTCGGTTTTGTGCTCAGCCAAGGCACAGTGGAGCGTAAAGGCTGTGCTGGTTGTTGCTGTGGTGTCTGCTGTTGTTGTTGTTGTTGTTGCGGTATTTGACGAATTGGCGATTCTCGTGCTTGCTGTTGCTGTTGTTGCTGCTGAAATTGACGCACAACATTGGGTGCCTGCGGCTCAGTAGGTGCTGCCAGGGGTGCAATATAGAGCGAGCCGACATTGGACTAAAATAAATTCGGAGTATAGCGGTGAATTATATACTTAACCATTGTGCAATGAAAGAGGTGTGGAAAATATACAGTTAGTTGTGAAAAAGCCGGGAATTATTGCGAAAAGACCCAAATTCACATACAGGACTATCTCAAGATTTGTTCAAAACTCAAAAAATAGAGATGATAATTCAATGGGAGAAGATTTTGTTGAAATGATAAAACAGGTATATTATAATTTCTGAAATTTACTTAATTATCATTACTTAAGATGAGGCCTTTTTGTTAATTCTAATCATCTGATATTTTCATTTAAGTATCTGATTTCTAACCTAAAATTCATCTGCAAAAGTTTCAAAGCTTTTCTCTCTCAAAAGCTCTACGACCTATATAGTTTCAAACTATCTTCTTAAAATCTTTTCGATCTCGGCAGATTTTAAGGGAATATATATAACAAGTCTATCGTAATCTTTGAAAGCTTTACTAAGGCTACAATGTTCATTAACTAAAATTGTTTCTCAATATCCGATTTCTAACCTAAAATTAACCACCAAAGATTGAAAATTTTTCTGTCAAAAGCTTTCTGATCTACAAAACATAAAACTATATTTTCAAAAGTTTTGAAATCTCAACAAATTTTAAAACAAAAGAGAAAGTATTGCTAATTTTTGGAAGCTTTATTAAGAATGATGCCCTTATAATTATATAATGTTTATCGGATCCCATTTTTCCTCCAATATTTTTAATCCATAAAATTTGCAAATTTTTCCATGAAAAGCTTTCGGAATTACAAAGCTTCAAACACTTTCGTTAAAAGCTTTTCGATCTCAGCAGACTTAAAGTCGAAATATAAAACAAGTCTAAGCTAATTTTTCCAAGTTTTACTAGGGATTGATCTCATTTGACGCATTCGGTGCTAAGAGCTAGACCTATGAACTTTAGGAAATACATTCTATTGAAAGACGTCACCCGCCGAGATAGGTCCAAAAGGTAAGAAAAGTACTCCCAGAACTCATGCAAGCTCAAACTACACGAATGTTACTAACGACGCCAAAGCGCTTATCAAGCTACGTGAGCTTCAACCCAAAGAAAGCGAAGGCTGTATGACGCAATTTAACTGGAAGTGGTGATATGTATAGTTCATCGATATTGACATTGTAAATATTTCTTTCATGAGCCAATGAACACATTGCAGAAATCAATGAATCCAAAATTTTTATAAATAAGGACGTACGAAAGTCTTTGCTTGATTCCAATGCCAATTGTCATAAAACCATCACATCAATTCCGATAATAATTGGTGACAACTACACCAAACTGTTCGTGAGCTTTAATTAAAAACTGTTAATAAGCATCCAAAAATTCGATTGCACAATGAAATTATTGTCAAATGAATTTGCAGCAGCTGTGTAGCTGTACATTTATGTAAAAAAGCAAAACAAAATCATAAAAATAAAAATAACAACGAAAAATCTTCTTTAATTAGATTCTGTATTAATGAATATACACACAAAGTACAAATAAAACCGCGCGCCATTGATAAAAATAGACGCTTCCGCAAGTCTTGCATTGCCGACGTAAAAATATTCATGAATGTATGTAATTTCATACTATGTCATTGGGTCTAGAACTAAATTTATTCATTTTTGTATTTTATTTAAGAAAAAAAATCTGGAATAACATTAGATATATGTAAGTGTCCAAATGAAACTATAATTTTTTGATAATTCTTAGACTCCATTCCAACCGAATTGAACCAGTTTTTGATACCCTGTCTAATGTGGCCGGTATTCCAGTAAGAACGTTCTGCATCAACCGGATTTGATAATAAGAGGACAGATCTGGACTATAAGGTGGTTTTCAAAGTAAAGAGAAGTTAAAAAAATAGTCTCCTTCTGCTTCAATACAGCTTTTTGCATAGTCCAAAAGGATGTCGATAGAATGTTTTAGCTCGGTCAAATAATCGGTCACAAGCATCGATCGATGAAAGCAATTTTTGGTCGTCAGTTTATTTGTGCCGAACAAACCACGCACACACCTTTCGTAGGCCAAATGTTCGGTCAAAATGCGATAAATCGATGTTTTAGAGATATTCACTTCCATTTCCATGAATTTCAATGATACCACTATAAGGTGGTTGAGGAAAAACTTCTCAGCTGTCAACTTGCCAGCTGTTGTTTAAATAAATTTAATTGTCTTACAACATGTGCCGTATCTAGTGGCGAACATATAGGCGTACGATGAAGACTGTAAATAGTCGATTCCACGCCGTTTGGAGCAACTCGGACTAATGTATGGAACGAATTGGTGTATTTTACAACGAGGTCTTAAACTGGAAGTTCGCATCGCTCTATGGGCTCTTGAAAAGTTCCAAGAACATATGCCAAACAATGTTCTTTCGAGTAAATTAGAAGTTTCTGTGCTTTTTTTTTTTTTTTTTGAAAAAGAAATTAGTCATATATGATATAGACGTATGTATATAGTTCTAAAATAAGCACAGATCTTTTTTATTTCTCCTTTCCTATATTATACCATTTTCGCAAGTCTAAAATCTTGATCAATTTATATTGCAAAAGTGAATTAAATATGATCCCGTATGCATCTCGCGCATATTTTGTTATAAATTTAACGTGAAAAAAGTTCTAACCAATTTTCCAGCATAATTTTAAGTTTTACTATTACACTTACCGGCTTGGGACCCTGATAGGCCGTAGCTAGCTGAGTTTGTTGCTGTTGTTGTGGTGATACATTGTTATATATCGCAGTCGTTTGTGGCTGCGACTGTGATTGTTGTTGCGTCGGAGTACGTTGAGTGCGCCAGGGCACAGTTTGTGTCACTGGCTGTGAGTTGGGAGAATTGTTGGCTGTTGTTGACTGTGCTGGGACTCCAGCGCCAGTCGGTGATGAAGTATACAGCTTCGATGGTTGCTGCTGTGCAAGCGGTGATATAGCTGGAGGAGCGCGTTGTTGTTGCGGTGACTGCTGCTGCTGCTGTGCCTGTGGAACGCCATATCTGAAGGGACTTTCGGTGGCGCGTTGTGGTGGAGTGCCACTTTCAGCACGTGGACTGTCCGTTTGACGTGTGTAGACATGGCCACTTGGCGATTGTGGCGGTGCAACGCTACGGAACTCGGGGCGTGGCGATTGTTGTTTTTGCTGTTGTTGTTGTTGTGATGGTGATGAAGCCAACTGCTGCTGTTGCTGCTGCTGCAATGGCTGATAGGATGGTGAGTACGTGGGCTGAGGCGGTGTGTTTTGTTGCTGTTGTGGTTGAGTGGAGTTGTTGCTGTTGTAGTTAAGTTCAGGTTGCTGGGTAGTCGTTGTTGGTTTCTTGTAACCTAATGTATGATTGAGAAATATATATTAGATATCAGTGCTACAGAAAAATATGCAGGATTTTGAGGTTAGTTTTCGGAACCATTAGGTTCGGTTTGGTATAGGATTAGCGTGTGACTTGTGAGAGTTAGCGGCGCCAGCACCATTTAAAGAGTTAGTAAATCCAGTTGTTTTGCTGAAATACCATATTAGTTAGTAGTAAACTTTGTAAACTCTTCCAAAAAGTGGAATCCATGTGTGTATCAATATAATATAAAAAGAGACCCGCAAAACCCAAAGCAAAAGTATTCTATTATAATAGCATGTGTCGGGCGCGTTGTGGATTCGAGGTCAACTAGGCCTGCCATGAACCCTTTTGCCTCTACATACCGAATAGTTATGTAATGAGAAAGACCATTTAGCCAAACCACCAAACAAGGACCAAGGTTAAACCCATACAAAGCGTTGTTGATGTGCGGATGAAGTGATGAACCGTAAAATACATAGCGTAATTTTCTACGCGCATTTCTCACCATCGACATGTTCGTTGACATCGTTGTTATTGTTGTTGTTCAGATTGTTGTTAAGACTGACCGTAGCTGGCTCACCGCTACCGGCGCTAACGGCCTGATCATTAGCAGCGGTATTCGGTGAACTAGCACGATCATTTTCACCCACCATGGGACTCTTGGAGCGATCGCGCACATACTCATCCTTCCAGAAGGTATTCTTTTCCACCGGCGGTGGTACTTTGCGCAATGCCGCCATTGGATTTGGCGGTATTTTGATTTCCGGTCGGAAAGCCAATGGTGGCGGTTCGAAACGTTGCGGTGTGGGCGACTTGCGTTGCGCGTTGGGCGAACCGGGAGCACTACCCGGTCCACCGCCATTCTGTGGTGGTGCTAATGTTTTGGAGGAGCTGGGTGGTGGTGGTGGTACCGGTGCCGATGTGCCATTCAATTTCTTACCCGCTACTCCGGTTGGCGCTGGTGGTGGCGGCGGCGGCAACACCTGGAACGGCATACCCATGCCGGCGGCGCCGATTTGCGACGCAGCATTGCCGCCACTGCCCGGCGATTGCGGCTGTGTCGGTCTGTTTTGTTGTGAGGCGCCCGTGGCTCCTTCGGCCTGTGCATTGCGCGCCAAACGTTTCGCCATGCGTTCCGATTTGATTTGTGAGAGATCAATGCCGCCCGGTGTGTAGGTGAATGGCTTCTTGTCTTTTGTCACCATTGCATTCTGTACGCAGGCGGGCGCTTCGTAGCCCCGTTGAGCGGAGCCGCCATACCTGTGAAGGAAATGAAGAGAGAATTTGTGGTTAGAAAAGTAGTTATAAAAGTGGTTATAAAATGCTTTACATATAATATTTCAAAATAAATAAATAAAAGTTATTTAAACACAAATAAATGTCCTAGATTGCCGCTATGATTAACTATTATCCGCAAGCAAAATATAAATTATAGCTTTTTAAGCTCTAAAAATAAAATATTTATGTAAACATTAGTTTAGCTTATTACGTTCGTTGACGTCGTAAAAGTGCACACGCTAAATCATTTTTTTTTTATACTACGCAGTCTCACAGATGACGTGTGAACTGTCAATTCTGTTTGTGCCAACTATTTTTTTGGCGCTTTTGCTGAAACAAATTTTTCCCAGATAAATCAGCAAGCTTGGCTAAAAAGCGCAAACACGTGCGTTGCCGATGCGTTGCTCATTTCCTTTATTTTTGTTGACTTTTTTTTAGATATTTTTTCGTGAACTGCAAACCTTTGCGGTGTTATATTGTTGGTGTCAAAACATAGCGCTTTGGATGTAGTCACCTAATACTTATGTATAGTACACACAAAACTTCGACAATTTGGGCGACTTTATACTATTATGTTCTGACGCATTTTAACCAGACGACATGCAACTAAAAGTTATTTCTATTTGACAGATTTGACATGGAAACTAATGCCATATGTCTGCGGTTTCGAAAGCATGTTGGATTGATTTTAAAGGATTGTAGCGATTTGAAAGGTTTGTGTTTTTTAAAGTGGATTAAATTTCACTTTGTGATATATTAATGACATTTGCAGCTAGTCTAGACATTATTGGCAGCCTTTGAAATCATTTGTGGTGTGTGTTTTGAGGTTATGTCGAAACTCAAACGTCATACAACGCCGTCATATCGTAGCCGGTCGGCTGTACTTTTGTAGGAAATTCAAATGAAATTTTGGCACCTTCTGCCAAGGAGTAATTGCTATCAAAAACTGCTGCTTTAGTCGATGTTCGAAATCGAAAAGAAAAGTGTAATCGTTTTATTAAAGTATGAAAATAAAATGGGATATGACACTCTCTATAACATATCTAGTTCTTCTTCAGAACTTTAAACTATTTCCTCTGACATGCTTTAACAAAAGTTGTTAACTGTCATTTCAAGTCCAATCAAATACTGGAAACTGATGACTTTTGAATAAATATAATCGAACTTGCAGATAATTCTTCATTAAATCATCTCTAGGTTGTAATAGTTTACATTTTAAACGGCTTTGTTCCCATTTCTGGCTTTATTTATCGTCAATTTTTATTATCTTAAGAGACATATCGAGGAAGTTTAATTTTTGATTTAAAAAAACTACAACATAGATAATTAAAGAAAAAAAAATTTACAAGAAAATGTTGTTTTTTGTATTTTTTTATTTGTTTTGTTTTATTTTATTTATTTTTTTTTTAACTTCACTCTAGGTGTGCCCCTTAAGCATGTGTTTTAGTTTTTAGGTGCTCGATCACTTAACTAAGTAGTTAGATAATATATAAAAGGCTTATTCATGGATCATAGATTGCTTGTTCGCGAAAATACTCATTTGGAAAGTATTCGGAAATTTATTTTATTTTTTTTTTAATTATTTTATTAAATTGTATTACACCTTTAGAATATTGTCTTAAATTGTTAAATTGATTCGAGTAATGGTTTCGGAGATACAGCCTTGGGAACTTGTGCTGTCGACTTGGACGAAGGATTTTTTTTTTCGATTACAACTATTTAAAAAATAAGTTCGCGAAATTTTCATTAAAATTTTAATTTTTTTGTAAAAATATCTGCCGAAAATCCAAGTCTCAGTTTTTTTCTTCGTCCAAATTCAATTTAAGGTTTTAACTAAAACATTTATTTTATCACTTTAGATGATCCTGTGAGGAGTTATACTGCCAAAGTGGGCGATTGCCTTAGTTAATGTTTTCTTTCAACAATGTCAGAATTTGTTGTTAATAGTCGTATGTAGTCTGTTAAAATAAAATGTTCTAATAAAAATTTAAATTTTTATATAAGAAAAAAACTGTTGAAAAAATGCTGTATTTTACCCGAGGAAACCTATCTCACCCCTTAAGGAAAAATATCATTTTTGGATTTTAAAAAAAATGCTATATTAAAGTTCTAAGTGCCTTTTTGTACAAATTTTAAGAATACACATTACATATTTTTAAGAGAAAAATTAAGTATTTTTCTTCTCCGGCTTTTAAAACAAAGTTTGAGTTTTACTAAACATTTTGGTCATTTGGCCAGACAAAATACGATTTTAGATCAGATAATTTTTTGATGGAGAACAAAATCCCTTATCTCCGAGTAATCACTCAAGCGAATTTGTAAAATGTAATTTTGAGAAGGTTTAAGATAAACTGGTGGAGCAGATTGAACTGAGCAATTACATTTTAGAAAAATGTAACTGAAAGTGTATTTGAGATATCGATTTAGAGTTTCGGGATGTGATTTTTAAAGTCATAACCTATTGAAATATGCAAAAAATTGTTTTTTTTTGTTTTTTTTTTTTTTTTTTGTTTTTAATTTTACTCTAGATGTACGCCTTATGCATTTGGTTTATTTTTAAGGTGCTCACACTGTATTAATTAGATTACATTAGATACACAATAAAAGGTTATTCATGGATAGTTCGTTGTTCAATAAAGCCTAAAAAGCTTATTTCAAAGCAGGTTGTTCTAATTTTAAATAGAAATTTGAGAAACTTAAAAAATAATTTGAGCAACTTCACAAGGTGTTATAAAATTATTGTCTCTTAAATCTAAGAATGCTCTCAGTTCAATATAACTCAGCGTCACTAACGTAGGGTTAAATAGCACCAAACTCGTATCAAATTTGAGCCGCCACAAGAACACCAAACCAAAATATTGACAAGCAACAGTTGCTTGTTTACTTTTTGCTCTAATTGGTAATTTGCTAATTTCAACGAGGAAATATGGTTTATCTAACTGTTGGAAATCAAGAATTGCGGTGACGCACTTGTACAGCACCAAAGTCTGCCACAACTACAACTAAAACAGTTTTGCGACAATTTGTAATTACCATAAAATTATAGCAAGACCACTAATGCGGGCGATAAAAAAAGTAGTTGTATGGAAATGAGTTGCATTGACAAGACAAGAAATCGTAGGAAACCGCTAACCGCAAAACCGACAATTTTAATACAAATGTTAAGGTTGCGCGCTTAGCATATATTATACAGCCCTGTAGTATAGGCTTAAGCTATATGTTTTACATATTATTATATGTACATATGTATGTATGTATGTATGTATGTAAATGAGTGAACTGAAATGTGGGCCGATTTGCAGGCCCCACATATATTGTATATAAAAACCTACTTTTATAATATATAATAAAAAATTAAAAAAAAAAAAATATAAAAAATCCGATTTCAGTTCGTAAAATTATTATTTTTTTATTAAATAAAACGAAATTTGAAAATAAAAACATTTTTACGGCAAAATATATTATAATATAAAATCCACTACACTTTGTAATAATTAAATAATATTAATAAGTAACGCAATTAAAAAGTGTAAATTATCGTCATTTTAATCGCCATACACCTCAACGATGCCATAACGCGCCATAATTAATTACATATTAACAATTCAATGTCATAATAATCGCCAACTATCGGCAATTATATTTCACTGCCTCCAAAAGCAGATAAATAATCCTGAACGAGCTTGCACTCATAATTCAAACACTAATACATATACATATTTTATTTCAATTTTAATTCAAATCTGGAAATGCATAAATTAAACATGTTCCGCGCCCATTTATGGCTCTTTTGCGATATGATTTGACAGGTGTCACTGGAGTCAGTGTAGAGGAGGGGGCTACATACACATTGGTTTCACTCTACTGGGTATTTCCTCAGCTCAGCTGGGAAGTATGAAAGTTATTCCGTTAATCAAACGGGAGCCGTATGGTAGCTGTAGCTTTGACTATACTGGCGTCTGTGCAAGTGACTTTCGGACAGATATGGCAGCATGTATTTTATTTTATTGTGTACATACATATGTGCATATGTGTATGTACAGTCCAATGCATGTATTTATGATATTTTTCCGTAGATTAAATATAAAAATAATATAAATAATTTGAAAAAATTTAAACTTTGAATATGGTTGAACTTGAACTAACTAAATAAGGAAGCGGAGAAAAGGTGAAGTCGCATGAACGTGGAACGTGCTATCCTTATGTTACATATGTATACATACTATAAATCAAATAAGGCTTTTTTATATTCTGATTAATTTAAGAATGCTTTGGATGATTTTCAAAATAGTTGTTAGGGAAATTAGGAATATTTGTGAAAACTGAAGAAATGATTCCAATAATATGTAACGTCAAGATGCTATCACTAATTACAGGTTGAAAGTGATATTTGGCAGAAGAAAATGTAAAATTGTATTTTATTTTTTTATTTCTATAAAATACATACGTATATACACAAACGTTATATTTATTGATCTGTTTTACGCAGAACATTTACAATTTGATCGGTTATAATTTTTATTTTCATGTGTCTAAATATTTTTTAAAATTTTTCCTAATTAAGAAAAGAATTTCCGACTACAACTACAAAATGGTTTCATATTTCTTTTCTTTTCAAGGTTATGTTAACAACTTGGGTCTTCGAAAATTTCTTTTAGTTATATCCTATGCGCGGGGGTCGACTGGACAATGGGTATCGCTGCCTACAATATCATGAGTTTAAGCTGGCTAACCTCAGAGTCATTACATTGCAGGCAGACGGCTCTTAGTGAAGGTGTATGTAATTTAATCTTATGAGGGACTGCTTTATATGCATTCTCAGAAGTAGGTAAATGGGTAATACAACGGCCATTGCTAATGAGGTATCTGGAGATAGGTATGAAAGAGACCCCCAAATCATGAAACTCAATATGGAGGTTAACAAAGAAACGAAGCGGACTGGGATATCAGTTCTAACGTCAGTGGGAGACGAGGCTTCTGCT